AGTTCCTCCAACCTGTGGAAGCTATTCAAGCCTGTGAGTTTCCTTTAGAAGATACTGAATTCATATCAGGAGCTATGAGTAGTTATGATATCAAAATAGAAACTCTGAGTACTTACATCGAGCCAGGTATTATATAAAAATAACAGAGCTGCCACTGAAGGCTGACAGATGTAGGTGAATCCCGGCCCTGCCATGAATTTGGTTTGGGGATGGGGTTTTCTCATTTGGCAAGGAGATGATGGAACCCACTGGGGAGGTTTGGTGTAGAGATGAGATGAGATAATACCCACAAAGGGCTTCAGAGAGTGGCTGGCACACAGAGTGGGCACTAAAGGACTGGGAAGTGGGAACTTCGTTAGTTCCTGCAACTCCCTTTGACCTGACTTGGCAAACGGGTGTGCAGGGATGGAGCCATCTGCTCATAGTGCCCCAGTGAAGTAGCGCTTCAGCCAGAACCTGACTTCAGGCATGTTTTCTTATGCACCACATTATACCGACTCTCCACAAATAACGTGGACTCGTATGGTCTTAGTGGTTCACAGAGTGAGTCTGGGAGGTGAGGTCTGTGTCCTCAAGGAGCTTATGTTCTGGCAGTTATAAGACTGACATGGTTTCTGTGCCTCCCCCTACATAAGGTAGTTTTGAGAGAGAGGACTCCTAAATGAAGGTAAAGGTGTGTCAGGCTTGTTTTTACTGACTGTAAAAACTTTAAACGGTACATGTGTTTGTAGTGATACAGGAGCAGGGTCACACAATGTGTAAACGTGCCCGTGCGCAGGGGACCTTGGCAGTCAAGGCGAGGAGAGGGGCTCCCACACACATCTTGGAGTGGGGAGGATGGGAGGTGGAACCTGGCTTTTGGGTGGAATGGGCTTGTCCCCAGGACGTTCTTTCCTGGCGCTGCCATGTGGAATCCAGGCTCTTTAATGGGATTGAGGGCCCAGAGAAGGGCTTGATTGGCTTCACTCTTGAAGTGCCATCCCTGCATTATGGGCAACTTTGGCCTGATGGAGATTGGTCCCTTCCTTCCTACCCAGGTTTGGCCACCAAAGACCTGACCTTGATTTTTATCTTGCCAGGTGGCCACTGGCAGTCACTGTTGGAGGGCAGCTTGCGGGGGTTTGCTCGGGGCCTGCAGCCTTGCCCCGGGTCCGCTGCCCCGGGCTTGGGGGTAATTGCTGATTTGCTACAGTGTTGACTCTGCGGTAGCTTTTCTGTCACATTCTCTTAAAAGGATGCTCCTTTGAATGAAAACTCATTTCTTTTCAATAGCTGAACAAGTATTAGTTTATTTTCATGGTGAAAGTATGTTACAATGCAGCTTTTACTGCAGTTGTGCACAGTAGGCAGGTGGGCCCTTGGAGGAATGACTTGGCCTTGAGAAGTGCAGAAAAAAAAAGCACCAGTAAACCATGATTGTATGTTAATTGTGGTTACTTGATGTAACCAGGCCTCTCTATCTATAGGGACCGTGCTGTAAGGCTCTGCGGTGCTCGGTGGTAGAGATTTGTACAGATGCTCTAGTTACTGGGAAGATAGTGTGACTCCGTGGAAGGCGTCACAGAAGGGGAAATGTTGAGCTGGCTCTCAAAGGATGTCATGTAGGAGTTTGCCAGGCAGAAAAGAGCACACTTGGCAGAGAGGACAGCATACAGAGGCTTTAAGGCATAAGAAGTAGGGGGCCTTCGGGTAACAGAATAGGTCAGAGCTCACACACAGGCTTTGTGTGTGGAAAGGAAGCGGGTGGAAGTCCAGGAACGAGACTTGGCCTTTGTTCTGTACCAGGTGGCGAGCCACTGAAGTATTTAATGAGGAGAGTGATGCGCTGAATGATTGGTGTCCTGGGAGGAGGATCTCTTGAGGGCGGCGAGGGTTTGAGAAAGGGATGGAGTTGAAAGGTGGGTAAAAGGCAGAACTGCCGTTGTCTGGTGAATTTGATGTGTGAGTGAAGAAAGACAAGTCACGGATGACAGTTTGCTCTAGCTGGGAAGGATGTGTGGATGTGATGCCCTGAGACACAGGAACCGGGTGAGACAAGGAAGAAGTGAGTTCACGGAACCTGGAGAAGAGCGTGTGGAGTCATGGGGTTCAGGCTGCCATTCAGCAGGGTGGGCAGGGCTGGAATTGGTGATGGGAGATTCACTGGGATACGGGCTGAGAACTGACTGGACCCCAGAGATCACCAGCAGTTAAGGAACAGGCCACCAAGAGAGATCCCAAGGAGGCAAATCAGGGGAGGAGAGACTGTGGAAGTGGCTGGAGGAGGAGAGATTTGGAGGTGAGGGGAGTTGGCAGCAGCGTCAGACTGTACAGAGATGTCAAGGAGGATGAAGAGAGGCCTTTATTAAGAGTCTTCACTATATCATTCTTGATAGTTAAGTAGCTACAAAAGATTATAAAATAAAATAAAAGGGCAGTCCAGGTTTGTAGATGAAGAGCCCATGTGAAAATGCTGGGACTGAAGCCAGTGGCCTCTCAAAGAGCCTTTTATGCCAGTGGGTTTTATTCATCTACCCTCTGTGGGAACAGCAGGAGTTAACCGACTGAGATGATCCAAAGGCTCCTTCCAATCCCAAGAGCCCCCTGCTCTGTGGCCTCTTGATTTGAGGGAGGAGGAGAATGCCTCGTTTCCAGGGAGCCAGGGAGATGCCGGCGCGGCTGCGGTGGGAGGCTGCAGGGCAGGGCTGTTTCTGAGAGGCACATGCGCTTCGGTCAGCCGGTGTGAGTCTCCTGAGCACAGGCCCCTCTGCCCCTCCAGTCTGATGCGGGTGTCTGACATGGGCCCTGTGTGGAGCACACGTCCCCAGTAAAACAGTTCTGGTTGGGTGGCTCTGGGGCTGACGTTCTAACACTACAGGAATTCTTACTGACTTCAGGTGGGAGTTGGATAGACTTACCCATTCTATTTTTGCCACAGATTCAATGGAAGTGAAACCCATCATGACCAGAAAGTTGCGGAGGCGACCGAATGACCCCGTCCCCATCCCAGACAAGAGGAGAAAACCCGCACCTGATATCCGTCTGCATCGAGCCTTAGTCACTTTTTTTTCCTTAAGAGTATTGAATCCTTTGCTTTTCCATTTGATGGACTATACATGGTCATTGTCCTACAGAAATTGTCATACTTGGTTGGAAAGCGTATGTATTTATCCATGAGATAGAGGATGGCCGTTTTATAATTGGAATCCTTAGTCGTTACTGTTTTGAGTAGGAGGGATTAATACAGAGAGCAGTTATTTGGAAAGGTACCTTGTGCTGGTTTTAACACTCACTTGGAGATTTGGGGGTAAGTGAGAATTCCATGTGCCTGAGTTTTTCCGCTTGTGAAATGAGAACAGTAATATCTGCCTCCTTTTTTAACTTCAGTTAGCAGTTTCCCCAAAACAGTGGATTGCAAACTGGTTTAATTAAAGCAGATGAGATTGTAGTCAGACATCAAGAAGCCCCTTTAATCATAAAAATGGGAATGAATGGGAAGGAGACACATAGGGGTGTGTTGTTTCTGTCCTCTTGGGGGCATAATAAATAGCCATTTGTACAGAATGATTTCGTTACTTGTCTGCCCCCAGGAAAGGGTGTAACTTCAGGTCCCTTCATCTTCGCAACTGAGAATTTCTGTTGCTGGGCAAGATTAATCCCATGTGTATGGAAGTCTCCCCATCTTTGGAACAAAAGCATTTCATCAATGGAGGATGAGGTTCTTACAGTGTCCTGAGCTCTCACTGTTTCTCATTTTACCTTCTCAGCATAGAAATTTGTAAGATGGGGCGGGGGTGGAGAGGGGTAGGGTGTGAATTCTTTTATGTAACTGACTCCACGACATTTCGTAGGAGGATCAAAAAGTTCCAAGAGGCAAACTGTAGAAACATCATCGAA